CCCCCTAGGCTTAATTTCTAGTACTGTAGAAACACAACAAAATGAAAAACAGCAAGGTGGAAACACTTCGCGACAGCCTGTACTGGAAAGCTTGCGGAGAACAAGGTATCCTCCCGTGTAGGGACCATCAGCTGCCTGCACAGCACTGCAGATAACTCCTGATCATCTCCCATCTGCCAAGTACTGGGACAGGCTCCGAGATACTGCAGGGAATAGAAGACAGCAAATCCCTGCTCCTGTGAGCTTACGTTTTCACAAATTAATACATCATTGAAAGTATAAATACATCAGCTTACAACTAGCGGTTTCATTTTTTAAAGAACTGACCCTAGAGAAGAAATGACATATATGTAAAGTTGCTCATAGCAGTACTATTGGTCACAGGACAACAGCAACTGGAATCATCACAGGTACCTATTAGCAGAGAACTGTGTACATCCATGCTATGGAATATTATACAGCCAAGAAGAAGGCTGGGACAACTGTATATATACCGACAGGGAATTATGTCCAAGATGACTGGGATATAAACACAAACAGCAGGAGCTAGGGACATGGCTGAGCAGTAGAAAGGTTGTATGCAGGTATGTGCAATGCTTTGGGTTCCATCCCAGACACACAAAAATCAAAATAAAACAAGGCATGGGTGTCAATTACTATTTATGAGGGGAACAACAACAACAACAAAAATCCACGTGAGCGCCTACATATTTGCTTGCATATGCAGAGTACTTTTCTTTATTTTTTATTATTATTTTTTTTTCTGGTGGAACCGGGGATTGAACTCAGGCCCTTGCGCTTGCCAGGGAAGCGCTTATTCCACTGAGCCATCTCCCCGGCCCCTATTTTTCTTTATTTTGAGACAGGGTCTCAGTATGCAGTCCAGGCTGGCCTACAACTTGTGATCTTCCTGCCTCAGCCTCCAGAATGCTTGGACTACAGGTATCTGCCACCACGCCCGACTCCAAGGCACATCCTTTTCTTTTGCCTTCCTGAAATAGGGTCTTGCTACATACTTCAGGCTGACCTCGAACTCACAGCAATTCTGCCTCAGCCTTCCAAGTGCTAAGGTGCCAGCTGCGCATCTGGCTGAATCTTTAAGTCTTATTAAAATGTAGTCTTTCACTCAAATCAAATCTTTACATGTTATTAGAGGGCCAGGGATATATAGCTCAGGGGCACAGTGTCTGCCTGGTAAGTGTGAGATCATGAGTTTGACTCCCAGAAACAAAAAAAAGTAAATAAATATTATTAAAAATCTTGGGGCCGGGGAGATGGCTCAGTAGAATAAGTACTTGCCTGGTAAGCACAAGGGCCTGAGTTCAATCCCCGGTTCCGCAAAAAAAAAAAGTCTTAAAAAAAAAAAAACCTTTAAGTTGGGCCGGGGAAATAGCTGAGTAGTCTAAGCACCTGCCTGGCAAGCGCAAGGACCCAGGTTCGATCCCCGGTACTGCATGCCGTACTGGCCCCTAAAACTGGACCTGATGGTGTATGCCTGTAATCCCAGTGCTGGGGAGGCTGAGACAGGAGGAGCACTACAAGTCCGAGCTGTGTAGCGAGAACCAAATATATAAATACATTACACGGGGTGTGGAGTCAGATCCCATCTCTGCCACAGCCACCTGTGCTCCTTAACCTCTGCAAGTCTGTGTCCTTCTCTACTTTATGGGCACACGTGGTATATGCGACCGTGCACAGGGCAGGGCCCCCAGCCTCCATTTCCCCACTGAGTGGGCGTGAAGAGGCTCCGGCCCTCCTGCCCCTGCCCTGGGCTCCCCTGGGTGGCCGCTCTCCCTCGGGGGTCCTGGCAGGGTGGGTACCTGTGCCGGGGGCTGACTTGGGGCCGCAGCCGCACCCTGCAGACGCCGTCGGCGCAGTCCTTTCCCACAAGGCTGTGCGGGTGCACGCGGTGGGGCCAGTCCTTCCACACCAGGCATGCGGTCACCTCCACCTCCCGCAGCCCGCCACAGTCCCGGAGCTGCAGGAAGACAGGCACTCATGGGGGCTCCTCCGGCATCCGGACCCTCCCTGGGGCATCCACCGCCACTGCCCCAAATGGGACCACGGAGGGAGATGGCTTCTGGCCCCCACTCAGCGACCCAGGAGGCCCCACTGACGTCACTACGTGCCTGCCAGGACTGAATCTAGTCCAGTCTTTTTCATTTATTTATTTATTTATTTATTTTTTGCGGTACCAGGGATGGAACTCAGGTCCACTGAGCTGTCTCCCGGGCCCAACAGTCCAGTCTTTTTATGGTAAGTTTTTTTGTGTGTGTGGCCGGCTCAGCCTGCCCTGGGGAAGGGGCTGGCGCAGCATGTGGTGCAAGGGATTGAATGCTGGGGACTGAACCTAAGTCGCAGCCTCGCAGTCACAGTCACTGCACTTGCCTGAGCAGGCACTGTAGACCGCTGAGCTATCTCCCCGGCCCGGTCCAGTCTTTTTTTAAGATGTACTATTTAGAGACAGAGTACTGCTGAGCAGTGGAGCTGCGCAAGCTGGGCTTGAACTTGCAATCCTCCTGCCCCAGCTTCCCACTGTGCTGCGATTCCAGGTGTGCACCACTATAGCCGGTTCGCATGTGTTTTTGGTGGTCAAACTTAAGAAACTAGGTCCATGGAGCGCCCCCCCCCCCACCCCCCGCGTTTTACACACAGATAACTTACTAATTTCCTGGGAAGAAAGAACTATGTACAGCAGAGACCTTGTATACCCCATACAACCCAGCTTGGGTGCACCCAAATTGGGCATACTGCCTTGCTACCGGCTTGGGGGCTCATCTGCAGTGCTCGGGAGCAGCCATGCTCCAGGCTTCAGACTTCTGCACACATGGGGCAAGCTTCACATGTGTCACAAGATGTCTCGGCCATGGGCCCTAGCCCACACTTGAAGATTTTTTATGTTTTGCAGACACATCTTATACACAGAGCTTGAATATTTTTGCTTTTTTTTTTTTATGTATTTAGTACAAGGTCTACAGGGTCTCACTACACAGATCGGACTCATAGTGATAGTGATCCTCTTGTTTACAGCCTCCCAAGTGCTGGGATTACAGGTGCTCGCCACCACGCCCAGTCTCAATCGCCTCTCAGCACGCCCTGGGTTTGGGGCTGGATGGCACCCCAGGGATCAAATCCTGGCCGCTGTGCACTGCTTAAGCAGGCACTTTAGTCCACTGTGCTATTTGGGTTTTTTTTGTTTTGTTTTGTTTTGTTTTTTTCACTGTGCTATTTGGCCAGCCCAAGTTTTCATGTCTGTATATAGAATTCAACCAACCACTACCCCAGTCAAGATCCATTATGATTTGTAAAATCTTTTTTTTTGGCGGGGGGAGGCAGAACCGGGGATTGAACTCAGGCCCTTGTGTTTGCCAGGAAAGCGCTTATTCCACTGAGCCATCTCCCCGGCCCTTTTTTCGTTTTTGAGACAGGGTCTCGCTATACAGTTCAGGCTGGCCTTGAATTCACTTTGCTGGTCTCACACTCATAGTGATCCTCCTGTCTCAGTTTCCCGAAGGCTGGAAGTGCAAGGCCAGCCTGAACTACAAAGTGAGACTCTGGTCCCTGAGTCTGCCTAGACAGTTGCTTTAATCCACTGAGCTACTGGCTGGCCCTTGCATTGTTTTTTGAGACACGGTCTCACTTTGTAGTTCAGGTCCTGTCCCCGAGGCTTGCTGAGCTATTGAGACTGGGCACGATAGCGAAGCACCTGTAATGTCGGCCCTTGAGAGGCTGTTTGTTTGTTTATTTATACCAGAGTTCAAACTCAGGACCTTGCGCTTGCCAGGCAGGCATTTATGCCCCTGAGCCCTATGCCCCAGCCCTATTTTGATCTTTTGGGGCAAGACCTTGCTAAATCCCTCAGGATGGGCTGGACTTGCAGTCCTCCGGCCTCAGCCTCCCAGAGATCTGGGATTACAGGCATGTGCCACTATGCCCACTTGCTTTACAAAGTCCTTCCCCCAAGTCGAGATACCCTGAGTTGTCAAAAACTAGTAGCACATCAGCTGACAGGAAGACCGGGGTTTGCGCAGACCAGGAGTGGCCTGACACTGGGAAAGAAAGCCCTCAGCACGGCAGCCCTCAGAGTGGGTACCAGGTTACTGGGGACACCAGGCTGGGTCTCGTTGGTCCCCAGAGGATCTCAAACATCCACCACCTTCATGGGGCTTCCCAGGGACTGCGCTCACTCTTACACAGGGGATAAATGTGCTCACTGATGGTGCAGTAATTTCACAGGATTTGTTGTTTTCTTTTCAAAACTGGGGATTGAGCACAAGGCCTTCACACTGAGCTACACCCCCAGCCCTTTTTGTATTTTGATACTTGTGTCTAGATAGTTGCTGAATTGCCCCAGGCCTGGGCTTCCAACTCACTTAGCCTGCCTGGCCTCCCACAGTGCTAGAATTACAGGTGTGTGCTACCATTTCCGGTTCTGTATTCTCCCTTTGTATTACAGTATGGTATTATATTTTTAAATGTTCTGTTTGGGGGGGATTTTTGTTTTCTTTTGTCTTTTTGAGACAGGGTTTCACTATATAGCTCAATCTAGGCTTGAACTCACAGTGTAGCCCAGGCTGGCCTCAAACTTGCAGCAATCCTTCTGCCTTAGCCTCCCGATTGCTGGGATTACAGGTGTGCACCACCACACCTGGAGTGTGTGGCATTATGGATTTGGGGGACTATGGGGTAGGTGACACTGCCTATAAATCTGAGTCAGACAGAGTTAAAGCCACTCATTTAACTGGCTCCCTAAGGTAATTTTAGGGCACTGAGCAAAGAGAGTCAGTAGCCTGAAAGTCTAGGTGTAGGAGAAGTGTGCTGTGTGGCCCCGACACAGCCTCTCTGAGCCTCAGCTTCTGTCTTGGAATGAGGGAGAGAAACACCGCAAATGCAGACTTGGAGCCGAGCCATTCCCCCTCGTTGGGAATCTACGGCCCTCACTATGTGGAACTGAAGCCAACCTTGTGCGAGAAGGACCGTGGCTGACAGCAATAAGGAAACTGAGGAAATGACTAATTACCAAGGGAAAGCCCAGACTCCAGCACACAGACCTCCTGGAGGCCCATGTCAGCAAAGGACCCAACTCGCCATCTCCAGAATTGGGACGCGGTAGCATCCCTGTCCCGTGATGTGTCACGCAGAACACACACGGCCTGCTGACAGAGAGATGCGGAGTGTGGCTCATTCCACACAACTACTGTGTTCTCCACAACGTCTAGGTTGGGACTGGAAGACAGACTGAAGGGCCCATCTGGGCTCAGAGATGCCTGAGACCTGACAACCAAGTGCTGCATGTAGCTGTAATCCCAGGACTCAGGAGGCTGAGGCAGGAGGAGGATCCTTGCCAGTTGGAGACCAGCCTGGGCTACAAGTAAGCTCAAGGTCAGCCTGAGCTGTATAGCAGAGAGCCTGTCTCAAAAAGACAGGAGAGAAAAAAAAAAAGCCTGCAAGTGATCCTGAGATCCAGGACTAGGTAATAAATAAGACAACAAAAGCAAAAGCTTTCCAGGCTACTTGGGGTAACGGGTGAAAAGCATGTGGTCTCAAATTAGCTAACATCATTGCATGAATGTTAAATTTCTATCTCACCCAGCGTGGTGGCAGACACCTGTAATCCCAGCACTAGGGAGGTTGAGGCTGGAGGATATATACAAATTGATACAAGTTCAAGGCCAGCTTGGCCTACATAGCAAGAGGACATGAAATGATTCAATACTTTAAAACAAGGGCTGGGTGTAGTTTGGTCACACAGTGCTTGACCGGCATACAAGAGGCCCAGCACATATAAGTTCTACCCTCAGCACTGCAAAAAAGAAAAAGGAAAGAAATAAGCAAGCTGGGCTGGGAAGATAGCTCAGTGGTCTAAGTACCTGCCTGGCAAGCTCAAGGACCAGAATTCGATCCCTGGTACCGCATGCCATGCCAGCCACTTAGACCAGGCAGCGTTGGGGAGGCTGAAACAGGAGGATCAGTATAAGCCCAAGCTGCATAGCAAGACCCTGTACCAAATACAAATACATAAATTAAAAAAAAAAAAAAAAAAAGCAAGCAAACCTAATACCTATGCTCAGTTCTGTATTTCAGTTTTGGGCTTATCCTAGAGTCCCCACCGCATAGACACCCTGAGGACATCCTCACTGCTAGCCTCCATCCAAGACTGCACGTACAGGATCTGCTGCACACGCAGGTGCCACAGGGCAGACTGCTGCAGCTTATTTCCCAGGTTCCCTGTGAGACACCCTTAACTCCAGCTCCTGGCCAAGCTGACAGAGCCGCAGTAGGCAACCTGGACGTCCTCAGCTGGGAGCATAGCCCGGGCCAGGCATGGCCAAGCCTGGCAGTGTGGTGGCCATAATGGGACCACTGTCAGCTCTCTGCTGAGCACAGACTGTGGAAGTGTCCTGAGGGTGTCACTCACTGGGTCCTCCCTGACAAATCGGGATGACTATTACTACCATCATTTGGAAGCAGAGGAAACAGGCACAGAGAAACCCAAAAACCTGCCCAGGCTCTACAATTAGTAAATGACAGAAGCAGGATTTGAACCCAAGCGCCTGATGCTTCAGGGCTTTGTGTGTGTGTGTGTGTGTGTGTGTGTGTGTGTGTGTGTGTGTGTGTGAACTAAGAGGCTCAGATGCCACTTACGGAGATCCTCCGGAGCGCTGGGATAAGAGGAATGTGCACCACTGCAGCGTCTCACAGTTTGGGTAAAGAAAGAGGACTTCTTTCGAACACCTGGACAGGGGCCTGGCACTTCTACCCCTACCCTCCACCCACCCCTCCATGGCGAGGGCAGAGCGGAAACCCCAGACCTCAGGCACGCACCTCGATAGCTGGCAGTGTCTTGCTGGCCTCGGTGCTGCTCTCGCCCAGGATGCTGCCAGCAGAGCGGCCTTCACACTCGTATCGGAAGCGCATGCCGCGCTGCTTGGGCTGCTCGGTGATGACCAGGTGCGGCCGCGCCCCGGGCCCAGGCTGCCCCAGCCGGCTCAGCGTGCAGCCCCAGGGCGGGGGCGCGACAGGGGGCCGCGCAGCGGGGCCCAAGGTGACCGTACTCAAGGAGGCGGCCCCGCGGGAAACGAGGCGCGGGCCCTCGCCCAGGCCCGCCGGCGCCCCCTCCAGGCCGAAGCCGTTCTCTTTGATGTACTCGTCGATGATCTCTGCCGGGAAAAGCCAAAACGCTGCTTAATCCCTTCCTTCCGGACTGACCCTCTCTCCCGGGGGACCGGAGCCAGGCCCTTCACACTGAGCTACGGACCCGGCCCTTTTTTCCTTATATTTCCAGAAGAGTGTCTTGTTCAGTTGACAGACTGGCCTAGAATTTGCAGGCTCCTGCCTCAGCCTCCCAGTGTGCTGGGATTACAGGAATGCAACATTAGAGTGCAGCGCTAATTCT